ACTTACTAAAAACTCCTGCTTACTTGTCTTTCTTATCTTAAACTAAGTCTTGCACTTGGTTCTTAGGAAAACTGTTTCCGAAATTTAGTTTCTTTTCAAATCAATTTAGACAAAGAAGAGTGATCGAAACTAGTCTTTAAATTGAACTGAAATACTGAATCTGAGCATCCAAACATAATCTCAAATGTTTGAAAAAATGTAACATGTTGTGAAATGTTTAAGCGGAAGCAATAAAAACTGAAATTATTAACAATGACCACCGTTGCACCTCGAGCCCGACACTAGCTGCTTAACCTAAAAATGATTCTTGTGGGGGGTGAACAAAACAACTAGCTCACCATGGTAATCTATAGCAATTATTCGTAATAATAACAAATACCAATAATCGCAGTATACAAATAAATAAACTGGTCTGAACTGAACTCATTTGTTTTTATACACGGTTTGCCCGCAATGGAAGTCTATCTCATGTGCATACTTTTACCGTCAAATACGTGGGATTGCCTCACTAGCCAACAGGAGAATGCCCCTTGTGGACAATGCCCCTTGTGGGCAGATACTCACTAACATACATCAATTAATTATTAATAATAAAATATAGCATATAAATCCCCAACTGCACTGCTTACTGACTGACTGAACTGAAAGAATGTATGTGCTTCTGAATGAGGGCTCGACTCCTCTTAATCTACAATTTAAATATTTTTTATCTTATTATTAAAGGTGGCCACAACCAAGCGAATAAGAAAAGCAAAGACAACTAACACATAAGGGAGATAAATCACACAGAGCACGTAATTAAATCAAATAAGACTTCTACTGACTTGTTGACTTATCTAAACTCGTCTAATTCTTGGAATTCTGACTTAATCCTGGAAAACTAACTTTTATGGACTGGCTTGAACCGTCAATCTGTTCTCGGTCAAACCTAGTTCATTTATCGGACCGTTTAGGTTGACCGGGCTATGGCTCGGTTCACTAACTTGAGCGTGCGCGGCTGCGCCTCGACTGGCCTAGGCGCTGGCGCGCTGCTCTCACGCTGGTCACTACAAATGACTCACTCGTGGGCATTGGTGGCTGGGGGCCACGCGTTGGCTTGGTAGGTGACTCGGTCTTGGCGCTGGCAGGTGACATAGTGTGTGTCGCAGGTCACTGGTGCACAGGCGCACACAGACTGCGGCTGCTGAGACACTGCGGGAGTGCACGGGCACGCTAGCAGGGTGCGTAGGTTGTGCATCGCACGAGCATGCGGGCGCTGAGCGGATGCGGCACGGTATAAGGACGCGCTGGCGTCGGGCACATCTACGACACGAGGCACGTGGTTGTCTGTGAAGATGCGCGGTCGTTGTGGCGCTATGCGAGTAGTTTATGGCGTCTGTGAGGCTGCGTGAGGTCGAGCGTGGCATTAACACTGTCTGCGGCCTTGCGTCGAGACATGGCAACTTCTCTCGGCTGATGGCTTTTTCCGACAACTTTGGCTGGACGCTGATAACTTTTTCCAGAAAAGATCCGACTTACTGAATGCTTATAAAATGGCTTCCTACTCAAGCCTAAGGAGTCTAAAGCTCCCAACAACCTAAGGCTTAGGCTCTCTTTTCTTTCCTCCCTTAACTCTCAAAAACAAAAAACAAACGTTAGGCCAAATAAACACCATATAGATAGCATATATGGCATATAAACAACACATAAAACACATTAACAACTCAGCAACAAAAGTTCAAAAACACGGCTAAAAAACACCACAAAAATATGGCAAATAACAATACATAAACATGCTCTTATTCTTCTAAACTTTAAGCATACTTCAAAACAGATTCTCAACTGCAACTAAACCTGACAAAAATCACATTTTCAGCTCATAAACATGCACTTAAATGTCTCAGCCGCATGCTCAAAACAAAGGCAAAAAATAAAGCAAAACATGCTCTATTTATAAGGGCTTAAATCACTTATCTTTGATTTTTTACCCCATATTGTAGGGTGGATCTCGAAAGACATGAAAAATCTCTCTCTAAGCCGTACATACGACTTTCGTCGATTATGACTTTCCTCAGAATTTTAATCATGGATCAACTAGCTTGTCACTTGAGTTGTTTGATAATTTTGTTTTGTCGACGATAGTGTTTTATCAAGTGCTGAACATGTTGGGTGTTTTCTCTACCCAAATAGTATCGAGCAATGGATAGAAATGATAAGGTAAGGAAATAGAAAAATAAATAGATCGAACAATCAAAATTTGTTGTGAGATCCCCTCTGGGACCAGGTCGAGGAAAATTAGAGTGAGGCACCGATTGTTAAGTGCAGCTAGAGAGACCGTAATAGCATCAAAGAGGACAATAAGGGAGTCTCTGTTGTAAATATTTTTCTGGAGTAGAATCAAAAGATTCGAACACCGGGTCGTGTCTCTCGAGGAAGGTTAGCCGAATACTCTGTGTGTTTATTCAATCACAAATAAAAGAAATAAAATTCCTAAACAAACTAATTCAGAGATTGGATTTGGTTTTTAATTATCAACTACTAAAATCAAACGAAAATTTAAGTAAAGCAATAGAAATAGCAAGCAGTAACGAAGAACAAGCTGGATTTGAGAAGCTAGGGAGTCGGGGATATCCGTTTTGGTTCGAATTGCAATTAATGAGCAAGTGATTGTTCAGTTAAGTGATTTGAATAATCAGAACATTCAAATTCTTATCCTCAATAACTTTTCGTAACAAGAGAACAAACTAAAACGGCAAATTAACAAGTCATTTAACTCCTAGGCATAACAGTTACGAGCAAGCCTAGTTCATAGGAGCCTATTTCGACCGACTCCTCTCCTTTTGGTTCTAAGAGTCGATTAAAGTAAAGTAAAGGGTGGTTAGCCGACTAATCAAATAGAATTACCAATATCAAGCATGAATAAATCGAATTCAATTGAAAACAATTGGGAATTGAAGTGTCACCCTTCAACAATTCGCAATATTCAAGCCTGACAGTTGAAAAACTCTTTTAAAAGATCAACTCGCATAAATTGAACAATCACGAACATAATAATCACAAATGAAATCAAACCATCAATCCCCTATCCCTAGCATAAGGATTTAGTTACTCATAATCGAATAATCAACACAAGCAATCTCAACCCAAGAACTCATATTTAACGAGTAAATTAAAAGAGACTCCTACGATTGATAAATTACGAAGTTAAATTCGATAAACAAGCTTGAATCCAAAAGAAATAGAAAAATCCGAGATCAAATACGTGTTCTACATCGAAAAATATAAAAAGAGAAAAAAAATGAACTTTCGAAGGGAAGAGTACGAGAGTAATCTCCAAACATATATTAGAACATAAAAACTCGACTCAAGAAAATCTGCCATTTTAATTCTAGGAAACGCGACCTCCGCGGCCGTGGAGAGGCCCACAGGCCGCGGTGAACAACGGCTCTACGGCCGCGACTCTTCCCGAGGCTGGAGAATTATGGAGCAGAAGTCAGGACGGGCATTGGCATCTTTTGTTTGCCGCGGCCGCGGGAGGAGAAGTCGCTGCCGCGGAGAAGAAAAACTGGGCGGAACTCGCGCCGTGCCAAAAGCTTCGCAGCGTGAAAGGGGATTGTGCTGCGCCGTGGAAGAAGTGCAGCGGCGTGATGGGAGCTTGTGCCGCGCCGTGGAGAGGAAGGTGTTGGGCGTGTCTGTCGCGGCGCGAAGGCCAGCGCGGTGCTAAGAAGTGTGGTCTCGCGGCGTGAAGTTGGGTGCAGCGTGGATTGCATCACTTTGCGTTATGCGTTCGTTAGAGCTCATTTGGAGACCGGTTCTGATTCTGTTTTCTCGTGTGTGACGCCAATGCATCCTACTACATAATTAAGCTCATCAAATCAATTTCCTCCTCCATTCAAAATCGAACAAGGACTCGACCTTCACACCACAGACGAAGACATACCGGAAATCGACCGAAAAGCATAAAAAAGACTCAAGCTAAAGGAAAACATATTATAAACTACAAAACGAGATAAAAACCAACTAAATGACCTAAAATGGGGGAAAAGAAAGACAAAATGACAACAAAAAATGTAACAAAAATGGGACAAACAAAGATTTGTTCCAAAAAATCTTTGTGTGATTGCTTTCTTTAAATATTTTGATTGTTTCCAAAAAGTTTTAAAACACATTTAGGCAGAATATTTTGAATTTTTTTAATAATTATTTATTGTAGTAATTCTGAAATTTTAGGCGACTTTTATTTCAGATAAATATCAAAATTATATATATGTATATATATATATATATTTTTTTTTATATTATATGCATATTATATTATTGTATAGGCATATGCACAAATGCTAGTTTTT